TCCTAAACTTTCTTAGTTTATTTACAAATGCGATTTCCTTTTTTGGTTTGTATTACCGGCGCAAATAAGTAAATTGGAGCCAAGCCGGCCCAAGCCAAGGAGCTGCATCTTAGAGTCGTAGCTTAATTTGTGGCTTGAGATATAACTTAGAGCCGCAGCTTAGTTGTGGCTCAGCTTAAGCTGTAGCTTCATTAACGTGCAGATCAAATTTCACGTTTAATCAAGACATTAATATTGTAATAACTAAAGCTGCTAACTGTTAATACTGTATATCGGCTATCTACCTTTATTATATAGAACTTCATACTAATAGTTTACAGTTTTTTAATCTATATTCCTACATCTTGTTCCATCCAACTTTTTAGACAAAGTAATGCCTGGGCAGTTTCAGGAAGAAGACAGCTACGAACTTTTGTAATCGTTCTTGCTGCTACAGAAAAAGCCTCTTCGCAAGGAACACTTGTTCCTTGAATGGCAAGATAGTTATGTGCCATTGTTGCTAAAGTTGGAAATCTATACTCATTTTGTTCCCACCAACTAAGAGAATTAGTTTTACATATAGACAAAGCTAAGTATAAATCTAATTCTTCTTCTGGTGGTAGTTGTTCAGTTTCTTGCTCCTTGGAAAAAAATAACTCAAAATATGCTTTTTTATTTTTAGAGGTAGTCAAGTTAGTATTTACCTCTAAAGCCAATAATTTAGAATGAACCATTTCTTGACGTAAGTTAGTAATAGCTGCAGTTTTTTTTTTCTCCGGGTGAGAATGTTTTAAGTTTTGATAATAGATCAAGAATTGCAGCTATTGTAATTTTGGCATCAAGAAGAGACCAATATTTATTTAATTTGTAATATATAGAATCTGCAACCAGATACTCTTCTTCTTCTTCCAATTGTAATTTATCAATAAATTGATCAAAATGTCGAATAAGCCCACCAATAGTTAAGCAAATATCTGAAATTGTTGGGTATAAACTACTTGAGAGATATTCTGTTGCTTCAAGAAC